GGGGGGGGAAAACCCCTTTTTTTTGGGGGGGTGCCCCCTTTTTTTTTTCCCCCTCTTTTGCCCCCGGGGGGCCCCCCTTTTTTTTTTTCCCCCAAATATTAAAGGGGGGGGGGGGGGGGGGGGGGGGGGGGGGGGGGGGGGGGCCTGTGTTTTTTTTTTTTTTTTTTTTTTTTTTTTTTTTTTTTTTTTTTTTTTTTTTTTTTTTTTTTTTTTTTTTTTTTTTTTTTGGCACATGGCATAAATGTCATATTTTACACCTTTGAACATGTTTTTATTAAATTAAGTACTATTATTCCATTTTATGGATTGAGTATTAAATAATTTTTATTTTATACTTTTACATGCTTGTTATTTAAGATAAGTACTTTTTTTATATTTTTGTCCATAGTGTATAAACAACTAAGGACGACGGGGCCCTTCCTTGGTCAGACTTGATTATGATAATCTTTTAAACAGAACTTTTTAAACTTTTTTTTAGAAATTTATAAACAAGCACAAGAATTGTTAATCAAGTTGTAATTTCAAGCTATCACCAACCACATTATTCTCTCATTTGTTTTCTATTCAAAAGTGAAACGTATAACAAACTGATTTGAAACAACAATTGGAAAATAAACAGTGATTTTTGGGTCGACATTTTAAATCGCTCGTGTTGAGCCATTAACCAGTTCAAGCCGGATAAAACTGGTTATTTTAAAGCTTTTATAGACAATCGTCATGTTTCCGAGTTTTACGAGTACATTACGCAAACGTCATAAAGACTGCTCTTTTAATTTTGGTAATAAAGCATCCGTAAATGAAGAGGTTAATCGAGTTTAGCGAATTTTATAACTCATTAACCCTAGTAGGTAACTGAAACATTCACTAATTAAATATAATTATGTGTATTTTACAACAGTTTTATAACACTAACAGTTATAATCTTTTTATGATAGGGGAGGACAAGTATGAAATTTTGATGGAAGGTGAAATACCCCAGCTATGTAACTTCTAAACAAGATGTGCTATCGACCTATTAACTAAAGTGTATGGTTATTAAGCCTGAGACAGAATTTTCCATATGCCTACCACCCATATAAAATTTATAGCTTTACTTTGATCTTATAAATGTAATGACAATATGTAAATGTTTTTTTCTAAACTCGACAGCAAAAATATTGCCTAATTTCTCAGTTATAATTACTATTTAGCAAGATGACAATATAACAACTTTTTTATATCGTCATTCACTCGTTATTCAGGACATATTGTATATAATTTGATCTACAATTCTAAGTCGTAAAAAATTTATATAAAATATATTAAAATCGCAAAAGTAATAATCCTACAATCTGTTAAGTTGGTGGATATTCTTAAAAAAAACAATTATTGAAGATGAACACAACATATAAAGAAACAATACAGATACAAATATTGACTCAAAACAAGGAACAAATTATAACGGAGAAATAAATTGATGGAAATTAAGAACAACGGTTTATAGCTAAATAGCTATCTCTTCCAAGCAACAGCGGTCGAAATGAAAACAGTAATAAAAGGGTATGCGTAACAGCAAAAAAGGTTACTTACTTAAACTCAAAATTAAAATACACATGAGCTCAATCTAAAATACGTTACTCACTTGTTTTATGAGCGAAGGATAATCGTAATTTTCACTCTTTCGGGAAAAGTTTTCGAGCCAATAAACAGTGGTTCGTATGTTAAGTCCGTGAAGCGGAAACAGTGCATTTGGCAGAACGCGGTAAAACTTTAACCGTAGTCGCACGGATGCGCCTCCTTGATTCACTTTTCAGTAATGGTGCATGTAATTTATACTAACAAGATGTAGCAAGGACTTTGCGGAATCTCTTATTCCGTTCTAGATTCCTGGTAATCCTTTTTTATTCAGTTGGGGCTTTTTTCATTCTTATTATAGTTGTTCTTTCAGTCTATTTATAATATCAATTGAATAATTTTAATAAAGTAAAATTCCGTTTCCCCTCATAGGGTATCGTTCACTAATCAGTTCTTATACAGGCAAGTTTAGTTGATCAGACTTCTGTGCCCTGCTCGGCCAAAACATACTATTACGTATATTCGAACCCAGGAATTCCCGGGTTAAACGTAATGCTAGGCAACACGTTTAACCATTTAGCTACAAAGACGGGCAGTTTAATAGAAAAGTGACAACATTTGTAGTTAATGTTTAGATTTAATTAATATGATTATCGTGTTCTTGTTATCTATACTAATTATAAAGCAGAAGAGCGTGTTTGTGGTTGGAAAATTATTAATATTTGAGTGTTACCGTTGCGTGCGTTACGGAAGGTAAGGAGAGGTTTGCAAAAACAAATTTTGATGCCAACATAACTTTTCTACGCAGACGAAGTCGCTGGCACAGCCAGTTGTTATATAAGATAAAATAAATTATATTGCTTATAGCGAACACATTTTGTAGAAATACGTAAGAGGACCCTTGCAATATAGACAAGTATTTACCTCTCTGGATCTCTAAATAGATATTGAGATGAATTCAAGTTTCGCCGTACCTCAATCCTATGACTTGCCATATCACAAGCATTTACTGGATATAAACTTATTCATGTATTCCGGGTATCGTTACGTCCTATTAATATTAAACGTATTACGTAACTAGTGATTCTGGACGATAATTATATTTAATGGCGCTGCTCAACGTGATTAGGTATTATATTATATATCACTATTGATGATGCGATTGTTTCATCATCAACGATTTGATAGTTAGACCGGCTCGCTGGTGTAATGGTAGCAATGTACAGCTTTATAATCCTATTAATTAATTTGAATAATACACTTTAACGGTTTAAAACGCGATATATTAGTTAAACTTATTTGAAAACGATTTTTAACTTCGGCCCGACGTTTCGGATGCTTTACAGCAGCCGTGGTCACGGGGAGACTGATATATCACGTTTTAAACCGTTAAAGTGTTTTATTTAAATGTGTACTACTCGCGTAAACTATAGACAGTATTTAGTATATTTAAGTTTTTCGGGCTTCGGTCGACGTGAGAAGAAGTTCTCGACGAGCGGACGGCAAGAATTAATAATTAATTCTTCGAGCAATCGAGGAGCTAACATCTCCTCATGATGATGATCACGTTTCAGTTTCAGTCTGTCTTTCAGTCAATTTTCGAATATTCATAGCTAAAATAGAGTGGCAGCGCATCTTGCTTAGATGTTATATGGCTGGAGTATTTCACCTACCATCAAGTGAACGGTACCGTAAGCGCTGGTCTGTCCATCTAGATAAAAAAAATAAATACGCGAAATATATTAGTAAGCTCGTATTTAATTAAAACTACGGTCAGATGTTTCGGATGCTTAGCAGCAGCCGTGGTCATGGGAGGACGAATAATAATAAGCCTTAAGTTAATATCATACAATAATATAAGATTACAAATGTACGCAAATACGAATCCGAACGAAAGACTTATCCGTCTTTGATAGAAGAAACATAAGAGAATTTCTTTGGAGCCCCTAAACTCGCTGCCATTGACTCATTTATAGCACTTTGATGAAGTTTTAATTCTAGGTTGTAAAGTTTATGGAGCCGTGCTAAAAGCCTGTCGATTGTGGTGCTATTTCGTTCGTTTCGTTCGTGTTAGAGAGAGATAGAGGGGGTTTATTATTGTGTGGTGATTTTAAAGTGAGGACTTCGTGTGGATTGTTTGCGTCTTGCCGGTTTATGGAGGCAGATAATGGGAGAGTATCTACGGCAGATGGGACGTCGTTGTGGCCATAAAATATGAGATGAATATTAAGCGAATAATTATTAAAAATTATACCTTACTATAGGAGAATCTGATAGGTGTAATAAATATAAATACATTGCGCAAGAGGTGCATGTATCAATAAGGTTGAAAAGATTTGACAATGACACGGTAACTCAATTGGTTAGAGTAACAGCACGAAACGCTGTTATTAAAATCCCGCCCGTGTCTTAAATCGATTTTATTTTTGTATAAATAATAAATTAATCTAACTAAGTATTAAATTATATATCTTAATATTGTACACATAAACGACACTAGATCAGCCGTATGACAGTAACACATTCGCGATTATAATAGCCACGATTACGACTTAGCTTAACTTAATTTATTATTATAGAATGAAAAACAATACTTAGTAAAAATCATTTTGGTCGCAAACGCGATTATTCATTTGTATATTTTAATAGAAAAACTTATAGCTTTTTTATTCGCTAATTTAGTGGACACATCTAAAATCTTCCTTGTAGATGAGTCAGAGAGATATTATTCTGTTGGTCTTTGTCTGAAAGTTTCTTGTTTTACTCACTGCGTTTACAATGAGTGCGGGTTTCAGAGTACTTTTCACATATACCCAGCTAGCAACGAATTTTAAACGTTCTGATTAATTAAACACGATTTAATTGCATTTTACTGTAAAAGTAACTTGTAGTGATTTAAATTCTGCCTGAGCAACGGTGCCTTTTAAATAAAGCATGCGGTGGAGTAATTTTGCTGATATTTTATTTAGTAAAAATATTTGAAAATTAAGTAATGAAATCCCGTTTTCTTCTGTGGGGTACAGGGCGAACACCTTTATGTGTTCGTTTCGTTGATCAAGTTTATTTACAGTCAAGTAGTCAAGTTAGAATTTTGTGCCCCACCAGAACGAAAACGAATAATTTTGTTTTCGTGAGTCAAAACCAGAACCCGTCGCACTTAGGCCGTTAATTTAAAAGAATATCGACCTGGTACCCCTCATTCTCTCATTTTGAAAATTTCTCAGATGTTATTGTAATAACGAACCACTATTCTTACTGTCTTAAGATTCGAAGCTTAGACCTCTGAATAATTTGTATCAGTAACGAAAAACAAATATTTCTTCTGCTATATAATTTTAATAAAATTTTCTACTTTACTTATTTCTATCAAATTACCTATCTCTTGTATTTTTTACTCTTTTATTACTGAATACTTTGAGGTACTTATATACTAGTTATATAACAGTTTAAAACTTATGAGATAACCATTCCTCTTTTATCATGTCACTTGCTTTCTCTGCTATCATTATCGTAGGAGCGTTCGTGTTACCTCGCACTATAGTTGGCATTATAGAAGCATCGATAACTCTCAATTTCTTTATCCCATAAACTCGTAATCTTGGATCAACCACAGCATGCTTATCCCAACGTGGTCCCATTTTACATGTTCCTACTGGATGATATATAGTAGTCGTGTAATGTGTTAACAGACAAAAGAAGTATTCGTTACTTCCCCATACATAGTCCGTGCAACCTGGAACTGGTATTCTGACATACGAAGCACCACTCAGCTTAAAGGCTTCAGTTTCTTCTAAACTTACTGCGAACCTCAAACCTTCAATAAGTGTGTCCACATCTTCTTTTACTTTAAAGAAACCTGGATATATTAACGGAGGACCAAATAGTGGATCAGTTTGATTCAACAATATAAGTCCTCGACTTTTTGGTTTGAGCAGTAAAGGTCGTGGAGCAAAACCATTGTAAAAGGGCAGTGGTAAAACATTAGATGCTAGATAGCTCGTAGGGTCAGAATAGAACTCGGCAACATTCCGGCCATCGAAATGAAGTTGCACATCTGGAGCGTCTTCTTTTGTTATTATAGTTTTGATGAATCCGATACTGTTTAACACGGAGGTAGTAGATAACGGACCATCTTTCTTCGGATGTTGAGCATGGTATTTGTACAGCTCACCCAATAACTGTTCGCCATTTATACTAGTCGATGTCTTATTTGATAAGGCCACAATTAATGCATCAGTAGTCACATGATCTTGTAGATTATGACCAACTTTCAAATCCATTAAAACAGGAATATGTAGGCTTACCAGTTCCTCCTTAGGACCGATACCAGAAAGCTTAAGTAATTTTGGTGAATTGATGGCACCAGCGCTGACTATTACTTCATGCTTAGCAAACACTTTGTGCAAGATACCGTCCTTATAGTATTCAACACCTAGCGCCACTTTTGTTACGGGATCAATCATGACTTTAGTGGCAAACGCGTTGATGATTATGTCTAAATTAGGACGTTTGTGACGTATTGGTCTAATAAATGCAGTATTCGTTGATTGTCTTTGGCCGTCCTTGGAAGTTGAAAGACTGATGTCTGTTCCATAATTACTTTCTCTGTTAAGATCGGTAATTGGTAGACCTTTCTCTTTAAACGCCTGTACAATCATGAATGTTGCTTTATCCACGTACGGAAATCTTTCGACGTTTAGAGGACCGCCGACACCATGATAGACCCGATCATGGGCTTCTATTTCGCGATTATTTTCAGATTTCTTAAAATACGGCAATATCTGAAACCGAGAAATAAATTAACAACCACAAGGTAAATTAAAGTAAGACCTAAGTTATCTTAGCTATAGGCATGAGCCTAGCAAAGATTTTTTTAAATAGCTCCTAAATAGAAAATCTCACCGATTTCTTAATAATTTACCTCATCATAACTCCAACCATGGTTTCCTTCATCAGCCCACTCATCATAGTCCAATCGGTTTCCTCGAATATAAACCATGTAGTTTGTTGCACTGCTTCCGCCCATTGTCTTTCCTCTGGAATTATGGAAAGAGGTGATATTTAATTAATCCATTAAAAATGACAATGAAAACTCACTCTACTTCCTTTTTGTCGAAACTGAATAAGTAAATAGTGCGTTTTATGATAAAATGTTGACGGGCCCGTTGATCTAAGTAATGTATGGCTAATAATAAACAGGTCGTGGATTCGACCCCACACGTGTTTCAATTGTTCAATTTATATTTTTCTGAAACATGTTTGACTTCGTCTGTAAATCTCGATATTACTATCCAGTCATTTATATGGGTGGTAGGAATATTCCGTCCGGGTCATGAACACATCAAAAAAATCGTAAAATTTAATCGCGTTTCGTTTGCAGTCTTTGGATTTCCAAAGTCAAAACAGATCGACAGCGCATCCTCTTTAGATGCTATAGACTGGGTTATTTCGCCTAGCATAAAGGGAACCCCACGCTTGACTGACCCCCTATATCATAAAAAAATTTAAAGTGAGATTATCCATACATACATACATAAATATTACTTGTTTGCTAACAATCTATAAATCTCAGAATTTAATCTTAATAATAATGAGAAGATAAAATGTATGAAAAGAGACTTAGATACAAGACCTAGTTACGTAAACACTGGGCCGAAAGCTATTTCTAAACATCTGTAACGATCTACGCTGCAAGCACTGAGACTCAAACTTTAGGCACTTGATTTAGCCTCAACTCTAGAACTACATCTAAGTCAAACAAATTAATATTAGTTCCTTGCAAGCATTGCCAAGCAATATCCGACATGCTTCGAGTAACAAGGCTATGGCGATACTATACTATGCTTATTCTAAATAGCTTCTAAATAGCTATGGGGAACGGATGCGACCAGAGCTTTAATTGGGTCAGTATGGGGAAGTCTGGATAGTGGGAAATCTCATTAAACGTGCTTCATGTATCATGTTTAGTTTGTTTTACTATGCAATTAAAGAACCTTTATATCGCAGTATATATAAACATCTTTGAAAACACTTTAACGGTTTAAAACGCGATATGTATATCAGTTAAACTTATTTGAATATTATTTTAATTACGGTGCGATGTTTTTAAACAAGTTTAACTAATATAAACCACGTTTTAAACTGGTAAAGTGTTTTATTTAAATGTGTTCCCTAACTACAGACAGTATTTATATACATATTGTCTCCCCCCTTTTTATTTTGAAATATTTATTTTAACAGTTTTTCAAAGAGCAAACAAACATTTCTAAGTTTAACTCTTAAATATAAAAAAATATTTGTTACAAATACCTTAATAAGCTAAATCAAACTGGTAGTCCACGATAAATTGTTGATTGGAGATTATGAAAATTTACTAAACATTGACTAATTAACCACTTAGTTACGTAAGAGACTCTCTCTATATTACTAGTTTTGCCCCTTCACTCCATCCATTCATTAAGCAGTCGTGAAACTGTTGTAACGATAGTTTATGAGTCCGGTTCCGCCCATAAGGCTTGTTGAAATGTATAAACGGTACCCTGATTTATTTGTGGGCTCGTAGGCCTATAACGGTCTAAATGCGCTTATTTCTTTAGGACGAAACATACTACCTAAATGGTGTTAAATGATTCTAATGTTAAATGCTGTCTGTAGTTTACGCGAGTAGTACACATTTAAATAACACACTTTAACGGTGTTAAACTTGTTTGAAAATTATTTTTAACCACGGCCCTACGTTTCGGATGCTTTGCAACAGCCGTGGTCACGTGGAGATTCGTTTGAACCGTTAAAGTGTTTTATTTAAATGATTCTAATGTTATTTCTTCTTTAAATTTTATCCAAACTGTACAATTTGTACGGGATATTTTCTTGACCATCTCTTCCTATACAGATTCCGAACTCGATTCGAACGAGTTTTCGTGAGAATTATATACGTTTACGAGAATTATTTACGCCGTAGTCACGGGGAGACACCCCGGCTGCTGCAAAGCATCCGAATTGTCGGGCTGAAGTTAAAAATCATTTCCAAAAAAATTTTAACTAATATATCGCGTGTTAAACCGTTAAAGTGTTTTATTTAAATGTGTACTACTCGCGTAAACTACAGACAGTGTTATATACGTTATTAAAAGCGCTTACATTAAATTTCCACATGTTCTAAGATCGTCTATTATTTTAAAAAATTACTTATAGTAAATATTTATAACACTGGCAGGATTCAAACCAACAATGTACTGTGGTGTTCCTTTGAGAACCAAGCATTTTGTCTCGAGTTAAAGTCTAGCCCGTGTAGTTAGTAGTCGACTTTTAATTCAATTAGCTTCGGACGTTTCGGATGTTTTGCTATAACCGTGAGCATGGGGGGACACGTCCGAAAAGGCTGGCCTTAGTTGATTCAAATTATAAACAAGTTAACGAATATATTTCGTGCTTTAAACCGTTGAAAGTGTATTATTTAAATGTGTACTATTCACGTAAACTACATACTATATTTAAAATTTAAATCCTTAATTAAGAGACTCCGACATGTTAAAATTTAAAAACTGCATGCGATAATAATCCAGCAAATTTGTGCTCTAGAATTTATAATAATGAAAACTATATCCGCTACACTCAGCAGCGCAACCCAAAAAACTATAAAGACATCCTGCGTGATTTTTCTCCGCAATAGTACCTGTACCAAGCACAAGTTTGTCCCCTCTGCGAACGACAGGTCAATTTTTCTGGCTGCGTCCTGTACATCCAATCGATATTGGAGTTTCCGAGGACTGTAGCTAGAGCAGGTACGCTTGTGACATCTGGTTCTTCGGCACCGGCCTCTAGAAGAAGAACCTGAAATAAGTATAGAAATGTATGACCTTGACTGATAAAGTTTATACTTTTTTTCTGGTAATAATAATAATAGAAATCTTAAAATATTTAAATTAACTTAAATTGTTTTAAAAAAATAGCAGTGTTTCTCTTTATCGCATCCCGTCGTCCTTGCAAGTTAATCTTAAAAGATAGACATCTACTGTGGCGGACACTGTTTTAGAATAATTAAAGAGGAATCATTCTTTCAAACATATTTCACTGGTACAAGTCACAGCGCAATGTCGATAAAAACTCTTACCAAACCAAAAATAAGTGTTCAATTCGAACCAGTGGTTCCTGAGATAAGCACATTAAAGACACAACTACTACTGTCTGTACTGTTACTACTATCATCGTTATGTCTATAATGTAGGTATGACTTTATCTATATAAAAAGTAAGACGATCTTTCTTCCACATGACTAAATGAAAGTAAGGAAGAAAACTTAATTTAGTAAGCAATATATTGCAGTTAAAGTTATAAAATTTTAGAGTGCGATATAAATTTTTAAAACAAAATAATATTTTTTTTAATTAAACAATAGAATACTACAACTGCAATCCGCCGTAACCGTTAATTAATATGAAAATTTTACAGCAAAATTCTTAGATAGTTTGATTGAGTTCCAAACTATCAAGATTAATTAGACTCAGGCTTTGTTTGAGATGAACGGGTTTAAATAATAATACCGAAGGATGAAAGATAAACTTGGACTGACTCGTAACTATGAAAAAGTTTCATTTATTTATATTCTACAGAACACAGGCCGTACAAGTCACGAGTAAGGTTTTTCTAATGTCTTTATGATTTTGTATAAAAGGAATGTATGTAAGGAAAGAGATAATTTTAAATTATGCCTTAGTATATGACAATGGGGAGTCAATTTTGTATGTCTTTTGTATTGAAATTTCAAACTATTTGAAATGTCACCCATAATGATTAGTTCATATTTTATCAACACTGTGAAAAATTTATTTCTAAAATCACCTAAGCCTCAGAATAGACAAAATAATGCATTATATTCCCTTCGTTTCATTGTGACGCGGCCTTGCCACGACTATTTTCGAAGATTTTTTAGACTTTTATTAAATAAATGCGAATCAACAGTCGTAAATCATTTGCATGTATTGTAAACATTGACTCTGTAGCATTGCAGTTTACACTCAAAAATATTTTGATCAAATTCTTTTTGTTCATCGCGACGTGAGCGAAGAGAGCGGAGTTAATAAAAAATTCATGTTTTTGACGTTACGCGCCATATTTTTTCAGTTCATTTTTCGAAGGTTCAAAGCGGCCACGCGACAATACCGGTGTAGCGGCCAGTTTGAATTCGAGAATCTTTTAGTTGAATAGGCCGAATAGAAAAATAAAAGAAGTTTCTTTACAATGTAAAAAAAAATGACTTAAGACGAAGTTTTTCAATTGTTTTTTCGCGTTGCGCGGGAAAATTTGCGTAAACATTCGTATAGATTAAAGAGAGTCTTATATCTGCGAAATTAAATATTCGTAATGTGTAAGTGACTTTTGATTGGATAGTCGCTACATTAATATAAATTTCAGCTATCAATTAACATATATTTTTTAAATTTTCGTCGGGACTCGAATTTAGAACCTATTGTGATCTATAGTAGGTAAGGCGTATAAGGTACTACATAATTACAATAATGAAAATTCTTCTGTTTTATGAATTAGTTACTGTCTTTAAAAATGAATGGAATTACTATGTTAAAAGGTTCTTCAATTTAAAAATATATAATAATATAAGCAATACGGACAAAATCCCCATAAAATAAACGCTTAAGCCGACTCCGATGGAAAATATCAATGGATTTACTTGAAGCGATGTTTTCGTGTTATATCGCCGTATCCTCGTAAATGTTGTTATGGCCTGAATGCATGTAAAAATATGTGCAAAATGTATGAAAGTGGAAATTGTACCGTATATCCGTTATCATTAAACGCCTGGCTGGAAATCGTAACATACTTTATTTTTTTTTATAAATTATCTGTGCTATAACCTCGACTTTTTGGCGACGTTTTTTTAGCATGAAAACAGCATACATTTTTAAGGCCGTGTGTACAATGTTATAGTATACATTGATTAAAAACAACAAGGACTTTCTCCTGTGACCACGGCTGCTGCAAAAGATTCAACATATCGGGCCGTAGTTTCAATTAATTGTTAATTAGTTAATTAATATATTTCGCGTTTAAAACGGTTAAAAGTGAATTATATAAATGTTTACTACTCACATAAACTAGAGACCATAAAATATTGTTACGAGAGTGATTTTGTAATTTCATTACATTTTTAATATTGTCTTTATGTATGTACAAATTCACTTGATGTAAGGTAAGAAAATCAAACCTTAACAATCAAGACCGTAACGCCATAAGATAATTGGCACTTCATTTTCTCCTCCACCAAGGACGCGTCATAATTTATACCTTGTTGTAAATAATAATCTCAGCTCTAAAAAATACATTGTTGAAAGTTAAACGCAATAGAAAAACACAGTTCCCTACAATGTTGGCATAGTTAAGTATAGTTGAACGTGGTTTTAAACAGTTTTTGTTGTAAAGCCGTGGGATCTAGGAAACACAAGCTAAGAACAGCGATTGCTAAAGTTTTTCACTCTCGGAATTCTGTCATTGTTTTAGCACGGGACTATTGAGAGTTGTTTGTATTTCACTTTAATTAAATGTATGCGACTCACTTTTTATGGTTTGAGAAATTATATTAAGCTTAACTTATGAAATAATATTACCTTATAAACACAAAGACAGAAGAATGTGTTATTTGCCTATGTCTATCTATAAATGCCTTCGTCCATAAATAGTTAAACGGTAGCCTAGCAATACATTAAGCACTCGAGATCCTGGGTTCACATACCGGGGAAACAAATTTATCTGTTTGGGCAGGCTGGGCAAAGCTGATCACAGATTTGCCTGTTTAACATTACATTTGTTTATTATAGCAAATCTTTGATAACGTTACCCACTATAAGTCAATATCTCAATGATAGTAAGAGAATGTGTCACTGGCCTATGTCGGATCTATGGTCTCAAATAGAAAGCTAAACAAACAAAAAATACTTGTCCAGCTAGACGTGCTGTACGCGTATTTTACCTTCCTTGAAGTGAATCCTAGTCTTTCCACCTGTGTCGTGAAGATAATAATTAAAAGACATTCAATGAATGTAAAATTCCTTCAAGGTGACGTATAATAAAGCAAAAAATGGAAAGTATAACCCATAAACCTAATTGCTTTTTGTGAATGTTGGCAAACGTTAAGAAAACGCTTTCAGTGTCAAGTTTAATTCTGTACCCCTGACCTTGCGTCACGCTTCATTTTGCATAAATTGTTCAAGATCCAAGCTTTACTGGGAAGTTTGAGTTGGCGTCGAATTACAATCGCTTTTGTAGTTCAACATTATGGAACAATATTATGAGCGAAAATTCATTACAATATTTGTTCCAAGTGGTTGCTATGAAAAACCTATCGACCACATCTGTAGCTAAATGGTTAAACGTGTTACGTAGTAATGCGTTAAACACGAGAGGTCCTGTGTTTGAATCCCAGGGAAACAATACATCGTCGCAAAGGGCACAGAAATCAAATCAATACCCTAAACGAAACATCGGGCCGTAATTAAAATAATTTTCAAATAAGCTAACTTGTATATATCGCGTTTTAAACCGCTAAAGTGTTTTACTTAAATACTTGCATTTAAATAAAAACGATCAATGAAACGGACACAAAAATGCGTTCGTCCCATGGCGCATGGGGGGCACGGCATTGCACTTTTTTTTTAGGAATATCGAAATTTCGCCCGGGTTATGAACTGGTAACAGATAACGGCGTAGCCTTAAATCTTTCAAATTTCGAATATCCAAAGCCATATCAAATAGCAAGTGTACTATATTCGTCTATAATAAAAAATACGAATTATATCTAACAATAATAATTACGTGATTAGAACCCACGATTGTCGATGCATTATGAAAGTAATATCAAAGAAAAATCACAGCTGATTTACCCACGAACTTTACAAGCGTTACCACATGTTACACAACGTCACGCGAACACCGATTGAGTTGTTAGTGTGGTTATAAGCAAATTTATAACTGCTACTTGATCTATTGGAAAGATAAGTTAACAAATGCAAATTTCTGTAGGACAAAATGAATAAACGGAGATGTACGACTAAAATATTGAAATAAATAAGATGTGTTTATATTAATAAATAAAACATTTCATTTTTACCACATGAAATACTTCAAAATCGATTATTAATTGAAAAAAAAACACACGACACGAGACTCTACAGTTTAGGGCTGTAGATGCCGGTTCAAGTCCGGCTCGTAACGTATTTTTTTTTAAATTTTTATTCGATTTTTAATTTTTAGAGTGCCATTATGCTCAATAGCATGTGAAAAAATAATAACGTTTTCAAAAATAAAATACTAGTTGTTGTAGGTAGTTAGTTAGTTATTGTAGGACTCGGTAGCTCAATTGGTAGAGCAACAAAAAAAAGACATCATCTACATAATAACATAAATAATAATTAACACAAAACCACCTGGAAGAACCCAATTATTTCATAACCATTGTTAGTAGACATTATATTACTTCCTACTTCCATTTTACCCCGATTTAACATGCTTTCAAATTGAATGTGACTGTTGTAAATGCAACGTCCACATTTAGCAAGATTGTATGCATTTAATTTGATCTATTCGATAACTAAGTATTAATTACACGCCTGAACGCACATGCGCTACATTTGTAACGCTAGATGGCGCTTTTAATTTTGATTGTTGAAATGTTTCAATTTAGGGTGTTTGTGAAATTGGTATTTAGCAAAATTGTTATTATTATCGTCGGCACTGAATGCGCGAATGTTGCCGACATAGAGTCGAACTAATTGTATAGTTTATGCTAGGGTAGCAACTACACGCGGCGTTGTCTGCGAGTTATATGTTTGGCCTCCAAAACTCTAACCGTTAATAAAACAAACATATAGACAAATTAAATAATAATGTAAGTTTAATTTCAATTGAGTAAACAGTTATTTTTGTCGAAGATTCTTACGGAAATAATAAACAAACCTGACATGGGGCTAGTAGAAAGACAGCGAAAATAGTAATTAATTCTAGTGTCAGTAAATATTATAACAATCATGTCAAAAAGTGTTATTATAATATAAGTTCCTATGAGAGACCAAATTTCGTAGATCAAATAAGCGAAAATAAGAAAAATGATATGTAATTATTTACCTTCCATTTCTTTACTTCGGACAATCTGTTTGCTAAAACACAACCGGCCGAGCCGGCCCCGACGACGATAAAATCATAATCCTTTATATGCCTCTTCTTTCTTTCCTTTTTACCCTCAGGCTTTTCCTTAACTTCTATTTTCTTCGAATCTTCAAAATCGGAGTCATAGCGCCCGTCAAAGTTAAATTCAAAAATAGGCTCTTTATTTGAATATTGTTTTCCACTATACGAATCTTCGAAATCGAATTTCGGCATATGCACATATTGCAGATTAGGCGTTATATGCGGCGGATGAGAAGCGAAGTTCGTTTGGTACGATGAGAACGGTCCATATGCCCCGGAAACGTGGTGCGATGGAAAACTCTCGCCATCGTAAAATGTATCGTGCGGCCTCGAATATGGGTTCACTTTAGAATACTTGCCGTCGATAGATTTCCCAAATAATTGCGTCACTAGGGCCAAAAACATGTAGCCAGTTTGGGAGCACTGTGTCAAAGGTGCCTGCGCCGTCTCGCAGACGGGAGCAATATCCGGTGCTATCCATGTAGTCGACATTTTGATCCCTCTAACGAACACTAATTCATTTTCAAACGAATGCGACCGCTTTTGTCTGCGTTACTGGCTGAAAACTAATTGTTCGAAAATGGAATGCCGCGTTTCAATAAAGACTTTTTTGCCCCAGAAAAAAAAACGAGCGTTTCCACAGATCAAAGTTTCCGCAGATAATAGAACAGCGTGAAGTGCACTTAATACTGCATTATAATGTCAGAGCAAGTCAACGGACAATAAGCAACTGAAGTAGATGCAAAAGAGGTGGTAATTCCTCTAAGCTTCATGCGAACTGTTGAGTTATCTTGGCGTGGTGTACTTTTATTTTTTTCCAAAGAAAAGATTCAATGATGCACGGCAATGGACTTTCATAATACCGAAATAAATGACGTAGGTGGAGCGTGAAACAGAATAATTCCTGAATTACAATATTTTCACGACAAAGGTGTCTCAATTATTTAAAATATAAAATTTCGGAACTATATATAATAGATAATAGTTTTTGAATGGTTCTAACACTATATTCAATCTCGGAAAATTTAATTTTATTGAGAAGCGCCAAGCCTACGCAACGAAGTTTTAAAACTTTTAAAATATATGGAAAATATTCACCGTTTTTGCCTGTATATCACGTTATATTGAGCGTTTGAATATTAACTTTTACGATATTAAATGAAATATTCTAGTCATCCATCATAGGAGAAAAATTGCAATTAATGTAGAAAAATATAAAAGTTAGCTCGAATATTTTCTATACGAGAAATTAGACTGGGTTCGTTTGAAGCTAGAGTTTTTTACTTATTTTTGTTTGTTGGAAAATAGTTTATGTACAGTTGTTGTTAAATATCGGTATGTGTATAGTAGAGTTTAAAGTGTCATAAAAAAACTTACTTCTATCTAAATATAACAACAAATATTTTCATTATGAGGGTATTTTAAGATAAATTCTTACGATATATAAATATATATAATTGCATTGAGTGTGTCTTGTCGGAACTCTATAACCCTGTTTAAGATTTCCTCAGTACAGTTCGTAATATCGCGAAATCGTCTGTTCCAAATACTTGATCATATTATTCCAGATAATTCATATTGAGAGAACAACTAAATTCTCCGGAGTTATCGCGAATTCACAGAGAATCAATTCCAGCTGAAGTTCTTAAAGTTTCCAACTAAAACTGATCACTATGGTTAATTTAAACCGATTTAAACTTTATTGCAATAGCGTAGAGCTCACTATCTTATATCTTAAGTATGTGGGAAATATGTTTGAGTAAGTGGTTATGTCTGGGTAAAGTATTTTGTTATCGATAAGGCTCTATCATGATCGAGTAATGCATATGTACTTTGTACAGTAGGTAGGATTAAGTGAAATTTAAGTTACAATTATGTATTGGAATTACTCGTCGGTATTATATATTAAATTACAAAGTGTAAAATTCAATTACTACTACCCTATATAATGGACGTCGTTGTTAGTATTTTTTTACCAATTTACAAAAAAAAGGAGCTCAAACTTCTGGCCCAGCAAAAGTATCTATTAAATAAATAAACAAATAATTTACTGAATCTTAAATATTTACAAATGTATTTACGTCATTCAGTACAATTATACATTTCTTACACAAATCACATTACTAAATACACTACTTAATCATTCAATCAATATTATATATTAATATATGCACTGTCTAACAGACGAACAGCAACATTTTGCTGAAAATCTGTGTTGTAGCGTAACTGTGCTGCAACTTACGCTAATGCAAGACCCTTTTGGCATAATGTTTCTTTTACCTCTTAAACTCTATATTTTATTTCACATCAATATATTTTTCTTCTACGATTGTTATAATTATTTACTGTACTCATTTGAAATAAAAAAAAGGATTTATTATTTTGTCAACCTAAAAACAAAGCGCAACCATCGCGATGTCCTCCCTTTGAAGACGGTGAAACTCGCAACACTCCCCAAGGCGCAATAAAAAACAAACGCCATCTAATTCCACGAATTTCTTTGGATCTTAAAAATGGAACAAAAACAAAAATAATCTCCAAGTTAAAGTTATCAAAGGAACGCGAAACGGTGAAATTAATCAAAATTCTTCGGGCTTACGAAATGATACGCAATACATTGCGGTTCTCATTCGCCTTATTAAATCATATATGTTTGCTGCATACTCAATGGACGTAAGACAATATTTTGACTCCCTACCGTATAAACGAGGGCTTTGGTTGTGAAATATTGTACATTGATGAGCTATCTTTACTCATTGTAATCTGTAAAATAAAGCAAACGTATTGAGAAAGTGATGCCTTATTTCAAAAGCCAAAATGAGTAGGTATTCATCTTTCATATCCATGCTTGTTATTTTTGTCTATGATAAAAAGTGAATAGAAGATGCCGATACAAGTCCTGCCAGAGTCGTAAAATTCTTTCAATCTTAAATCGATTTTTAATTTATGCCATCATATGCAATAAAATGTGGTTTATATTGGCATCACTTTTACGCGAATCCCGTAAAACTAATCCCGTAAATCCGCGTAAAACGTATCGGTTTCAATACATTCAGTTATATTTTCTCACTATTTACAACCGCTAACTGCAAATATAGAACATCCCAGTTCCATACGAAGCAAATATTAAAAATAACAACTGTTAAGCTATTGCGACTAGACTGTGAAAACAGGTCGAAATTGCGTGACGCCAGAAAATAAAGGATGCAGCAAAATATTTGTCAAAGCGCAAATTCATATCTAATGCACGTCAGTCAATCTCTGGCTAGCATCCGGCTACATCCGGTACGGTCGAATGAATATTCAGCGAGAATTACAATTGTAAGGCCGGATTACACGCCCGACATTGCTCATATCAGTTTGTTGGCGAAATATCTACGTTATGATGATAATAATTGAAAATATTTGTCATACGGTTAGAACTAGTGACGCTGCGAGCGATATTTTAACCCGAAAACAGACTGCAACATTTACACAGATATATCACTGATATTCATATATAGAACGACCAATGCAATTAATAATTGGGTCGTAGTAATGTTTAATTAAATAATCGCGTTTCAAACCTTCATTAGTGTTTTATTTAACAATTCGCGTTTTAAAGATGTCATGTAAATGTCCTTTAGAATTAAAAAGAATGGCTTTGTTTTAGCTGGTACTCTATTATCTCACATCACACGCTGAAACGAGTATCGAATCTGCGATCCCCTGATTGAATGTTGACACATACAACATGTAAGAATCTGATCTCATTATTAAACAACTAATATATTATGCTAAATTAAAGAAAGAAGAAGATAAAATAATACAGTCGGAGAGATAGAAGCGCTGCTCCAAAATACGTTATAACGAAAAATCTAGTGGCAGATTTTGTATTCTCAACAAAATTGTGAGCGTGTTATAATTTCGAAACAAGAGAGCGTACAATATGCATCTTTTGCCAACAGATGTGACATTTAATTTAAGTTTTTGTTATAAACACAATTCACGAGGAAAAAAGCGATATTATGAACACGGTATAACTTTCACAGAGGTAACATTTAAAGAATATTTAGAAGTGGTAAAATTGAAGAGAATGTTAGTATGTAAGGTAAATCAAATGAATGTTTGAAAACTTTTAATATTTAAATAAAACACTTTAACGGTTTAAGACGCGATATATTAGTTAAACTTATTTGAAAATGATTTTTAACTTCGGCCCGACGTTTCGGCTGCTGCAAAAAATCATTTTGAAATAAGTTTAACTAATATATCGCGTTTTAAACCGTTAAAGCGTTTTATTTAAATGTGTACTACTGGCGTAAACTATAGACAGTATTTCAGTTTTAATATTTTGCTCATGGTGGCACTATAATAATTAAAAATTGATTATAAATTGGAGAACATGACTGGCATCCACATTGCTCCGTGTAGCATTGCGCTAAAGTTGCATGTAACAATAGGTTGAAAGAATTCGACGATGACGTGTAGGATTCGATAGCTCAATCGGTTAGAGTAACAGCTCGGAACTCGTGGATGCCAGTTCAAGCTCTCCCCGAATCATAATTTTTTTTAAACATTGATTGACAAGTAAAATATTAGTTTTAGTTTTAAAAACAATATTAAAACTCAATCGTTTAGTTTAACATTATTCAGAATTTAAAACTTAAATTAGCTTTCTTAATGATAACAGGTTCTTCGTTCAAGTTTATGTAATAGTAATCAAAAATGATTTTATACGTTTTAGTATATATGTTTTTGTCAATAGTTTACGCGAGCAGTACATGTATTTAACAGTTTTAACGATTTTAAACGCGAAACTTAATTTTATTTGTCCCCCCATGACCACCGCAGCTGCGTAGAAATTAATCACCGGGCCGCAGTTTTTAATGTATTTCGCGTATTTTTTATGATACAGACAAAAATGTTAATTTGACTTGGCGGCTTTTTTATCTGTGGTGGTTCGTGACCCTGCCGAAAATTCGATATAACCCGATAAACACGAATAAACTGTCTTATAAACAGTTAAACATATATTATAAAACCACGTGTTTAGTAAAAATATGTAAGATTTAAATATTTTAATAAATTTGTTCTTTTGTAGGATTATTATAATCAATCATTAATAAATAAAACTGTAGTCGACGAAGAAGGTTGCCTAGAATAGAAGAATGCCAAAGTAAGTTCCGATTTAGTTAGCTCTTACTTATATTTCTAACTGTTAATTGGACGTTCCGTTGGGAAAGTATTCGAAAAACTAATTAAGTATTCCGTCAAACGTGTTGAACAACGCTAGGGTTGACACAAGCTATAGTTTTAATGTTTTAAATTAAAAGTGTTTAATAATGTTTGTGGTAAACACGTTGGTCTAATGGTAGCAATGAATGGCTAATCAACGAATTGTTGGTTCTATTTTGAATAATGACTTCATCTGGCAATCCAGATATCAAATATTGAAATTCCATTCGGGTCACAAACCATCGTCCAAAGACGATAAAGCCGTGAAGTTAAAA